TTTTTTTTTTTTTTTTTTTTTTTTTTTGGTACCAGGGATCAAACTCGGGTCCTTCCCATTTGCAAGGCAAGTGGTATCTCTCTTGTGCTTTGATCCCTCTGTACTATAGCACAAGTCATGTTCAAATAAAACTTCCTTCCAGTGGTCCTGTAAATTGTTCATGATGTATTTCTTAGGTAATGTGAGCTTGGAAGATCCTGAAGTCTGCTCAGGATTTCTGAGTAATGTGGACAGAATGGTTGCTTAAAGAAACATTAGGGCCTGTTGGTGAAGAAGAGCTCCAGAGACCCACAGTGGGGACAAAGACAGGCAGTGTTCAGTATTAGTGGCAGCAGCAAAGACCAACAACTGGCAGTGTCCACCAATGGCATCAAGACCCAGAGCTATAACCCTAAGGGCCATTGGCGCTCAAGAGATCTGGGCCTCCAGCAGAGCTGCACTTGCTGATTTACAATCTCTATCATCCAAAATAAGCAAAAACCCTCACCCAATCAGCTGCCAGGACAAAGCTCTCTATTGCGACCTCAGCTCTGAGCAAGTGAGTGTGTTGCCCACCAGCCCCTCCTGGGAGTGCTGGTTACTCTGGCCTTGAGCAGCTCACCATACCCTTCTGAGCCTCAGCTTCTCTATGAAATAGGTGCAATTAGACCCTCCAGGATTGTGCATATGCAAAATCAAACTAAAACAGCACACAAGGATGGCACACCTGACCACAAATGCCTCCCCGGATGGCAGCCAGCTCCTCCCCATGCTGCATTTTCTGAGGGACAGCCCCTGGGTTGTGGCACAGAGGTGTGGAGAGAGCACACTGAGGACCACTGCTCCATGCCCACCTCCAAGAGCCTCAGCCACCCCGGCCTTCCCACTGTCCACTCTTGGCTCGGCATCCTCTCTGACCTCTAGAATGGACAGAGCCAAGGCCTGAACTCCAGCAGCACCAGGGTTTGGCCTGGGCCTGCTCTGAGATAGCTGCCAGGTGTCTGGGACTTGCCTGGCCTGAGGGCACTGCTTTCTGTTCACACCAAGACACTTCTGGGCTACCCATGGCCCTGCAGGGCCCAGCAAGGGTAGAAAAACAATGCAAACACAAATATGAGCTGGTGCAGAGTGTGGTGGCACAAACTTGTAATCCCGTAGCTTGGGAGGCTGAGGCAGGAGGATCATAAAATGGAGCCCAGCCTGGACAACTTAGTGACTTAGCAAGACCTTACCTCATAAATAAATAAAGAAATGGCTGAGGATGTAGCTCTGGGTTCAATTCCCCAGTAGAAAAGTGTGGAGAGGGATCACAGCAAGGGCCCCGGGTTAATCCTAGTGTTGTCAAATAAATCAAACTGAGGCCTTGATAAGGAGCATGGCTGCTGCTCCACCTGCTCCTCTCTGGGCCCAGGAGGACTCACTTGGCGCAGTAGAGAAAGTGGTCCCTCCAGTCCACCTGGGCGGTCTGGCCCATCAGTGTCTGGTTGGCGGTGAGCAGCAGGAGCGAGCGGTTGTTCTGGAAGTACTGCAGGAGGCTGTTGACGCAGCAGTCAGAGAGGCTGGCATTATGCGGCTTGAGGGGCGAGTAGCAGACGTCCTGCAGGGAGATGTTGCGCTGTGCCTCAGCGGACCACACCTGCAGGTGCCTCACCCTCTCCTGCAATTCCAGCACCTCCAGCAACAGGTCCAGGCTCAGGACCCCGCTGAAGTTCTTGGGCCCTAGTAGCAGGGAGTTGTACATGTAGCTGGACCGGTTCGTTGCCGTCAGGAAAGCCTGGTTGGTTCGGAAGAAGGGGCCGAAATGCTGGTCATGGAACTCCTTCTCCCGCCGGGCTTGGCTCTTGGGGGCTGACCACAGGTCCACAGGGTCCGTGGTGAGTCTCACAAATGTCAGGCCCGATGCCAGGCCCAAAGCTACTGCAAGGGACACTGCCAGGAAGGTCAGTGGCCATGAGGCCACCCTTCTTCCCCAACTCTCGAAAAACCGGCCAAGGGCCGTGTGTGGGGAGCACCTGTGTTTCTTTGGAGGGCTGGGGGTTCTTGGGAGGCCCTGTGTCCCGCCCTCCCTCCTCTTGGAAATCACACGGAAGTAGGCAAGGACGGCGATGAGCAGCACGAAGACAGAGCAGAAGATGATGATGAGGACCTCCCAGCCTGGCAAGCGGCCCATGTAGAAGAAGGGACGCAGGTTGGAGGGTGGGAGGATGGCGGGGCAGGAGGCAGCGCAGTCCTGGCAGGAGCATGCTGCTGTGCCATTGTCCTGGGTCTCATTACAGCGCATGATCATGGCATCCAGAGGCTGTATGCCAGCAGGCAGGGCCTGGCTGGGCTCCCAGAGGTGGAAGGTGATGTCCAGGGGGGCCAGGCCATTCCCCGTGTCCCCCTGGAAGTTGAGCCAGCGTTGGGCATTGCAAAGGGCAGAACCGTACACACCACACATGGTGCCCACGGCCAGTGAGGCAGCTGCAGGGATGCGCACCTGGCTGCAGGACTCATAGGCCTCCTCTGCAAAGCTGCGCTGGTAGAAAGCCTCATAGGCCACCACAGCCGGGGGCTCGCTGGCTCCCCGGGGGACCACGCGGGTGACGTTGATGAAGAGGCTCTGGTCAGGGCTGCAGGTGTTCTGACAGTGCAGACTGACAAAGTTGTCAGAGCAGGCTGGGCAGCGGGTGAGGAGGGCCTTGGTGATGGCCATGCTCATCTCCAGAGACACCAGCTGGCTGGCAGAGCAGCAGGCGTAGGTGGTGTTGGGGCCAGCATAGAGGCGTGGGCAGATGCGCCGTAGGAGGGCCAGGTGGTCGCCCGTGATGAGGCGGGCCTGGGTGTTGGACAGGCAGGACACGTTGGACAGCGCTGTGAGGCTGCCCGACAGTTCTGGGTTTCTCCCACACTCCTCGTAAAAGGTGCAGTAGCTGGCCTGGTGGATGGGTGTGTACAGCTCGCCCCGCACCTGCAGACACAGCAAAGTCACTCACAGGCCAGGCCGGCAGCACAGGTGACAGGACAGGGTGAGGGGAAGGAAGGGATCAGGCAGGGGCTGGGGGGACCCCTGAGGCCTGTGCTGTGGTTGGGACGTTTTCTTCCTGTGAGTGACAGGTGCCTTGGAGAAGGATGTGACCCCACAGATGTGGTTTAGAAAGGTCACCCAGCAGTGGGCAGGGTGACTGGGAGAGAAGTGACTAGGGTGCCTGTATTGCTGTTGGCCTCGGTCCCCTGGCTACACACCACACTGTGGCCTCTCATGCAAGGTCTCTCAGGAGGCCCCCTCCCCCAAAACGCCATTGCCTGCCTTGCAGCCCCAGGATACTCCAGGGGACACTCGCCTGGGTACCCCCAACCCCCCTTTGACTCAGTTCTTCCCTAACCACAGGCCAGGACCCAGCCCAGCTGCCACTCCTGACCAGGAGTCCCTCAACCCCATTACCTGGAGACCCTTCCCTGGCACCTTTATCTGGAGCGCCTGGAACACCCCCCCACACTGCCATCCAGCCACCCTTTCTGGGTCCCCATTGAAGCGGTAGACTCACGGAGCACAGGAGCAGGGCCCAGAGCAGCCAGCCCCACAGGCTGGCCGCCATCCTGGGACAGAGGAGGGACCGATGGGGAGAACAGGAGACAGCTGAGGACTGGCAGTGGGGATGTACATTAAGGTAGCTTCCTCCCTCTGGTGACAGCCCTGACCACCCGAGGTCGGAGCCAATAGGGCTGAGCACTGCTGGTTAATGATCACCCGCTCTCATCCCTGCCTCATGCTGGCCTCATCCACAGCCCCTCAGATAAGCTTCCCCGGGACAGGGACGGGGTCCCCATGCATTGTCCAGTGCTGCTGAAGTCTCATGAGGGCTGAGCTCCTGGAGGACAGACCCCAATCACCCCTCTCAGAGTTGGCTCTGGGGCAGAGGTGCAAGTGGGACTGGGCACTGGCCAGGCCATGGACTCTGGCTTTGGGGGCTTATCATGGTCCTGGAGTATCTATACCCCCATGGGTGAGTCCCAGACCCCCACCCTGGCCCACCCAATCTAGGGACCAGGGGTGGCTGTGGGCTCAAGACACCATCTGCACTGTCATCCTTAGCAACCGTTGCTAATTAGTATTAACAGCCAGATAATGAAGAGAGAGTTAGGGTGGAGCTACACAGTGACCTCCAAGCAGGAAGTGGAACCAACAGCCCATTCCAGGGCCTGACAGGAGACAGAGACCTCAGATTCATCTCCTCTGCTCAACTCCTCCTCCTCCCAGCTCCCTTGTCCAGGGCCAATGCCAGGTGGGACCCGGGTAGTGGCAGCCCACCAGGCCCAGGTGAACAGCTCATGCTTCTGCTCCCTCCTGATAGGAATCTCCTGGCCTCCCTTTGCTCCCACTATCTCGGGATGGGTAGGACCTTGGCCCTCCTGCCAAGGCTAGCCGCTGATAATGCTGCAAGGCCACTAGTACAACCACCTGCCCAGATAGCTGCAGGGAGCGGCCTGGTGACTTGGAGGGCAGCCACCTGGGAGGCTGGAGGAGACCCCAGAGGCTGAGGGGAGGCCCGAGTTGTCTTACACTCAGGGATGACCCCTGCTGCCGAGCCCCACTGCCTTCTTGCTCCTAGGTGGCATCCACAAGGAGGTGTCTGGCTAGCTCCGGCCTGGATGTTCTCATCCGAATCCCCCAGAGTCTGACATGAGAAGACAGCTTGTTTGGCTGGTGACCCCAGGTGACAGGTGTGGGGAAGCAGGTAAAGAGGCATGTAAGGGACAGAAAGAAGCCAATCAGGATTTGTACAACAGCAGCTCCTAGCCCAGAGACCTGCTCAAGCCATAAGGACGTGGACACTTTCACTATCTCCGTGGGTCACTAGTTGGGGCCTCGTAGAAGCTTTAGCACCCAGCCCCACACAGCCAGCTCCACTCCGGGTCAAGAGCACTAAGGCCAGAACTCACTGGCACATGCCAGGAATCATGGCACACACCTGCAATCCCAGTACATGGAGGCTGGGGCAGGAGGATCACTGTGGGTTCGAGGCTAGCCTGGTCTACACAGTAAGTTCCAGGCCAGCCTGGACTACAAAGCAAAACCTTGTCTCAAAAACAAGCAAACAGGGCCAGGGATATAGCTCAGTGGTGCCACCACTTGCCTTGCAAGTGCAAGGTCCTGAGTTCGATCCCTGGTATCAAAAAAAAAAAAAAAA